CAGATGCGTGGATGCCAGCCCCTCTGGAGGGCACCAGCTTGGGGGAGGCTGACTCACTCCGGGCGAGAGGATTTCTTTCCCCTGGTGGCCCCGGAGGGGCAGCGCCTGCGTGAATGGCCTCTGTCTGCCTCTCCCTCCCTCCCTCCACCCCCCGCGTGGGATGAGCTGCTTGGCAGGCCCTTTCACAGTGTTGCCCTTCCTCTCCCCCCAGCACGCCCTCCCCGCCAGCGCCTACGCCACCGTCAAAGCCTACGGAAACTTTGATGCTGATCGTGATGCTTTAACCCTCGAAACTGCCATCAAGACCAAAGGTAGGTGTGAAGGAGGCTGCGTGGAGGAGAAGCCGTGGCCTCCCACGTCCGCAACGGCTGCTTTTTCTCCTGGCCGGACGTGGAGACAGGATGGCGGGAGAGGCACCTTGTGGCTCCCTTCCACTCCTGGGGAGCCTGGCCGGAGCTCTTGGAGACAAAAGGAAGCAGGTCATGTGTTTTGAGGAGAACCCCGAATCTGGGTGCAGGAGACTTGCGGGGGGGTGGGGGTGGGCTGTTACAGCCCTGTGGCCGAGAAGTTTTTCCAGAGGTGGCTTGCAGGATGCCACGAATGGGACTATCCCTGCCCCTGCCTGATCATCTGAAAGGGTGTGACACACAAGGAAAGGTGATGGGGAGGGAGGAGGGAAAAAAGCAAATGAGGCCTCAGGTGTTAGGACAGGTTTTCAGGTAGCCTGACAGGAGGTTGCGGGTTGGGGAGCAGATAAGGGAAGGAAGGTCCAAGGCAGTGGACTCACTGGTGTCTCTTCTAGGGGGTGCACCGTGTTGGGGGGCTCTGATTGATCGGTTAGGCCTGGAGAGGGTTTCGCTGCTGCTTTGCAGTGGGGCAGCTCTTCCGACCTTTGTGAAAAGGAATTCAGAGGGGGAAATAAACTGGCTGGCTAGAGACTGGAACCCAAGCTTGCTCCTCTGTCCCCAGAACCTCAGGACCCACATTCTTCTTTCCCCCTTTGCGGCAAAGCAGCGGCTGCATCCGTCGTGTCGCTATCGGAGGCCTCTCTTTGGCGCTCCAGCCTGGTGCCTTGCAGATGCCCGGGGGTGGCAGCTGGGGCCACGGTTCTTGGGCTCCCTCACACACTGACGGGGGCGCCCCGTGGCAGAACCAACGGGTGGGGCAGAATCCAGACGCCTCGCCTCTCCGGGGCTCTCCTTGGAGGGAGATGAAGTCTGGGCCCGGCTCCCGAGCGGTGGGTCTTTGAACCGTTCCAGGACCGTCCCCGCCTTCCCCGCTGAGGAGGCGCCCCCCACGAGTTCTTCCCCACAAGCGGGTGAGGTGGGCCTGCTCAGAGCAGCCGCAGGGGAGGGGAGGGGAGGGAGCCGTTGGCGGACCCCGATCGCCCGGTCGGCTCTGCGGATGAGCAGGGCGTTCAGCGCCTGTTCCAGAGCTGGGTGGGGATGTTTTTGGAAAGCGCTCCCGTCTCTGTTTTTGCATCCCTGCTTCTCTTTCCGCTTCCGAAAGGAGTCGTCCTCCTTTCTCATTTCTGTTTCTACACGTCACGCTGGGAGGCAGCGTTTTGGGCATGGTGTGGGGCAGAGACCGGGCCTATTGCGATTGCGTGCCGGCTTGCATTTTGTGGGGCAACCAAACGCCAGCCACCACAAAGTGGAAAACGGCGTTTCCAAAACCCTTTGGGCAAGGATAAAGCACCCTTCCCCAAAATAGCCCTCCCTGATTTCATGTTAATGCTACAGAAGCAGGCAGGAGGTCTTGGAAAGAAACTGGAATGAGACCAATTCGCTCCGGTGGAGAGGAACTGGAGCTGCCTCCAGGAAGACGGCCTCTGCTTCCAAGCGGGCCACGAAAGCAGCGAGATGAGCAGCAGTGAGGACTAGTTACTTGCCTGTTCTTGTTAGAGGTGTTCATTTACCTGGGAAGAGGCACCTGGAGGAGCCCGACTCTTGGGGGGGCCCTCTGAGGCCAACTCCTTGAAATGCACCTAATTTTTATGCCCCAAGCCCACCAGATTTCTGCTCTTAGCCCCCAAAGGCGAAGGCCTGCCCAGGGGGGTTGCGTGTGTGTCAAAAATGTGTGTGGAAGGCGCACCCTTTTCAGATCTCCTCTGGAGGGTGGACGTCTCAGCGCCTGATTCCAGGGGCTCCACCAGATCAGGGTGACCCGGAGCTGTCACAATCCCCGCCTCCCCCCAGGGTAGAGCCTTCCCGTCGATTGCAAAAGCAGTGGCTCGTCCTTGGCACGGCGTGGCCCGGTCGTGCCAGGACTTCCACTGCGGTTAGTGGGGCAGCGGGGGCGCTGAGCAGAGGAGAAAGCGAGGCAGATCCCCCCAGCAGGGCATCATCCGAAGGTCCCTCTTTGCAAGGGGGGAGCCTAGAGGGAAGGACGAGGGCCACGTGGGGGACTCTCCGCGGCCCTGCCCAGAAGGTCTCGGCAGCTGTGAGTCAGCACCCTGCCCGCCGCGTCGTCTCACTCGGAAATGCCAACGGAGTCCCTTTCTCCTCGTGGGAATGGGGAGATCTCTGCAAGGCTGCCCCGTGGGGAGTGCGATTCTTAGCAAGCCTCAACAGCCCTCTGGAAGCCGATCCTTAATTATTTCTAGAGAGGAGCCGGCGGCTTTTTCCCACCCTGCATCGGTGACCTTTGATTTGAGGAAACTCGACTGGAAGGGGAAAGAAGGCTTCAGTTCATACGGGGAAAACGTTTTTTTTCCCTTTCCCCTGCAGGCTGATGGTTATGTCTTTTTTTTAAAAAACAATGATTTTATTAGAGTTTGCAAACAGAAAGATAAAAGAGCGATGCAAACTAAAGAAAATTTAAAAAGGAAAGGAAAAAGAAGTGCAAAGAGATAGGCAGAAGAAAAGAAAAATGGTTGGGTCTGATGACTCTGGGGTGGCCACAGGCACGACACCATCGTGCCTTCTTCCAGAGTCCTGCCCTGCAACTCCCGTCCCATCCAACCTGATGCCTCTGGAGGGCATTAAGGTGGCACTTCTGACCCCTGACCTCTGGCTTACCTTCAGGTTTTGCCCCAAGACCCACCCCATGGCACAGACCGGCGGTGGCCTTGGGGCTGTTGCGTTTTGCTGAGGACTTTCCAGTTCTGAAAGCATTGTGTTCATTCTCACCGTGACCGGTGGAACCAGAGGCGTGCAGAGACACACCTTTATTTTCCCAGCTTGACAAGAATCCCAGGGAGTGGGTTTTTTTAAAGCCAGCTGCGGTTAGACGTTAAATGAGCCGCCACTAAAGGAAAAGCTGATGCAAGAAACTAAATTTTGCTCTGGAGTAGCTGCTTTTAATTGCTTTCCTACTCAGTGTGGTTTATATAATTGAGATTTTTTCCCCCGTGGGCTCCCTCTGCACCAGTGTTTTTCAACCTTGGCCACTTTAAGATGGGTGGACTTCAAGTTGAAGTTGAAGTCCACCCATCTTAAAGTGGCCAAGGTTGAAAACCAATGCTCTACACCCAATCTCTTCCTCACACACACATGCACCCATCAGCTTATGCACCTTTTCAGAGAGTTTTGCAATTAAATAATATAAAGAAAATAGAGAACGTCCTTGGCAAGGCAGATGTTGCATCGAGGTGATACGTACCGGTTGAGACCCATTTGCTCGTGCATGAGAAGCAGGAATGCTGGGCAGAATCATTTTGAGGCTGCCGAAGCGCCACAAGGATGGATGGGTTATGTTGTCCATGTGGGGCATCAGATCCTCCTAGGCGGGCGCTGCGGAAGAGGCGTTCGAGTGCTAAAGTCGGGGCTAGTGTGAAAATCCAGCCGTGACGGGGAGGCGGACGTGTGAGCTGACCGGCGGTCTTCTCCTTCTGCAGGTGTGGACGAGGTGACCATTGTCAACCTTTTGACAAACCGCAGCAATGACCAGCGACAGGATATCGCTTTCGCCTACCAGAGGAGAACAAAGAAGGTACGAAGGCCGGGACTGCAGTTCCCAGAATTCCCTCGGGTGCGGTGGGGAATTCTGGGAATTGAGATCCCCGATCATAACTTGAAATGGAAAGCACCTGGCTGGATGGCTTTAGAAAGAACAGACAAATGCACGGACTCTATAGGCGCGCTCCATTTGTGAGAAACCAACACAACGCGAGGTGTGACGTGGAAAAACCTGCGCTCAACTAATCTAAACCTACTTTTATTTGAAAACTAAGTTTTGGGGGAGGAAAAACTCTTGGAGAGAATCTAACCTTCATCCTTTGTATATTTATCCGGGAGGTTTTTCTCCCAAACACTTTCGCTTTCAAAAGGAAGCGTCACTCCAGATTAGCTGAGAATATAGGCATGCCGGCCAGTGAATTTTTGCTCTCTTTTGGCGTCTGTAAATTATATCTGGGATCC